AATAGTCTATAATACAACAGATTAAATACAACACAGCAATAATATACACACTGGCCTGAAGAAAATGGGTGTTCATTCAAAGAAGGTTTTCCTATGAATTAATTAGTAGAAAAGTCCATTTCTCCTGTGCATTTGTGTCCCTTTGTTTCTGGAGAAAGCAGAATGAGAGCCGGCTCGCATTCCACAAGGTTGTAAATGTATCGGGTTACCATGAAACCAGGGTCTTGTTCAGCGTCCTGGGGTGTTACAAAGTATTTGTGAAATCTAGCTAACAAAATATATATTGTGTGTTGGAGTGTTCCAGACGCTACAAGAATGTGGGGCTGTAATACGGGATGAGTACGGTTTCTCCCACGATCTTGACACCTCAGCATGGAGATCGAGGAAAACGGAATGCCCCCGTCATGCAGGCTGTGATCTGGATTCAGAACATGCTCGTCTTATTATTTTTAGGACGAGTGTCCTGTTTCTAGGATGGCCAAACGATATTTTATTTTGGCGAATGCACGAAACACACCCCATAATCATGAATCACACCTCATATGGTGGCGAGTCCACAGTCTCCTCTGTCTCGGCACTCATCACATCCACCTCCTCGACAATCAGCTGCTCGAAAACTGACCGTGCATGCTCCGCTCCTAAACAAACGACACACAAATCGTGTGTATTCCCTGCCGCCAGATATCGTGGGCAGGGAGAAACACAGCATTTGTAATGTCGTTCACTCGCCATAGACTTTCTCATTGTTTTATATATATATATGAGTGCTTGTGCGGACAGACAACAGTAAATAGACAGACACATACACAGAGCGCTACGGCCGGATGCGCTTTTATGCTTTCTGGTGCTTACGTCTCGCTGCTCCATTGGACAGATTTGACACGTGCTTCAGAACGCGGTCACGCAAGGGCGTTCCCAAAGCGACTCGACGCAGCTCGAGTTCCTGAAGGGGAACTGCAATAATAGAGTACTGAACAATGAAAATTTCAAGTTATATATGTTTTGTCTATGAACGACATTCATTTCTTGACTGTAGTTTGATATGTAGGTCTAACTAGAAAATAAATTACTGATTATTGGGGGACAGACAGATTCTTATTTTATTATTTGGAATCATGAGGTAAAAGGATTCAGACAAAATTGTTAAGACAGCATGTGAATAAGGAGTCTTTAAAATAAGCTAACTGGGTATTGACAGCTGTAGCAGTTCTCCTGCCTGCAGAGGGAAGGAGAGAGCTGTTTAGTGCTCTCCAGAGAAGCACTTACACTTGCCATTATCAAACCACTATAAATAACAAATTGTTATTTATTTTTATCATATTGCAACAGTAAACAAAGTTGAAATAAAAAGACATTTCTACTACTTATTTCAAACATAAGTTACAAAAAAGTGGGTTATACTGTATACAACTGATGGCGAATTCAGGCTTATTCAACTTATCTACAAAAAATCGACAAGTTCCAGATCTCATATAGAAGGTATCAAAAGTGGAATTTACATCTATGAGCTTATGCTATACTGTACAATACTTCTAAATGTCAACAAAATGACGAACAATGACACCAGGGGTGTCTCAGGACTAAACGCCACAGAGATTGTGGGACTGCTGGAGCGTTCAAAGGAAAGCTGTCTGATCAGGCTAAAATCATCTTAAAAGGGGCATGTAAAAGCTTTGGCATAATGGGCAGGTGACACTGGCTATATGTAATTGAGGAGGACTTACCGCAACAAACTTACCAAAGTGGAAAAGGATTATTCTTTTTAAAAAAACACTACCGCTGGAAGTGAGGGCCAGTGAAGCAGGAGAAGCTGGTTGCCACGGAATGCATATTGACAGTTGTCTCTAAGGACTGAAGAGAGGTAGGATATGTTTGTTACAAAGTGCAGTTTCCCTGAGGTCAAAGGTCAGTCTAATTAAATTAGCACAAACAGGAGGTTAATCTCCTTTTAAAGTCCTAAGAGAAATTGTCGATGCTATACATTTAAACCTTTAACATTAATCCCAATTGGTGATATAATAAGAGTATCTTCCCTGTTTGTTTCTTTCTGATATGAGTTCTTTAATGCTGACTTTATCACGGAACATCTGAAAACCTGTTTTCTTCATTCGGACAATACAGTATATACACTTTGCAGTGGATATATAGAGTATATAGTCATAGGGTTAGTGTGTTCTAGGGATATTTTTATAAGGTAGTTTTTGTGTTACTTATATCATGTGTTGTTCTCTTGTTTGTAGCGTAGCACAAACCTCAATGCGTAGCATGATGAATAACCAGCAGACGTTTAAGATTCTGAAGAGGACACCGGATCATTTTCCTGAAGTTCGCTGTGCGTCATAGATTCCCAGGACTAGCGATTCATGTGTTCTGCCATCCTAAAACAGATAAATTAGCTCTGGCGTATAAACATTCCCCTGTACACTTCAGAGGACAAACATGCAGCGTGATTGAAATTGAGAAGCCACACATAAAAAAATATATATCATATAAGGGCATATTAAACCAACATGGTCTGGATTGCTTCATATGCAACAGAGGATATTTTCAGAGGAAGATATCACTTAAAAGTACAGAGCAAGTGTTTCTTTCTTGAAACGAATGACAAACAAACTAATTTTGACAATGACATTTAACACCTAAATTCGTCACTGCATTTGCTAAAAGGAGTGTGAGAGAGGCATAGCATATTTGACTGAGAGGTCCCCATGGGGTGTGTCCTGCGAGAGTGTGTGAGACCTGTGTTGTATGTGCACGCGTGCTCTGTAGTGTGCTTTGTGATACCTGACACATGCCCTCTCACAGGTCTTTATTTAGGACATACTATATAAAGCACTTTCCCATTGAAATACAGCACCAGCTGTGTTAGTTATGTGTTGTGGTCGCTGTTGCAGTATGGCTAAAAGATGTTTCACCACTTCTCACACAAGGCATAATATCTAAGAAAGTTCTGGCCATTAATACTCTGGTGTACTAGAAGCCTTTCTCTCTGGGGAGAGCCTACACCATCAAATGTTGTTAGTACACATACCAAAACTCAATTAGTTTTTAATGAGCCTGTATAATTTAGCAGATTGTTGACAATTTGAGAAATAGCTGAAGCAGTTTTTCAAAATTATTGGGATATGAAAAGTTTGGTTGTTAATTTTCTGAAAAGACAAATACAGTTAGACAATTAATGCTATGAACAGGTAAAGTCGAACAAACACTGAACTATATTCCTTTAGTAAATGCTGGCAGAAGTAATTTGTCAGATCCAGTGCCAAATCTACTTCCGCTTTTAAGTAAAATGAAAAATATAATAATTATGATTTACATGTATATAAATGAGCAAATAAAGTTATATTAATCTGTAATGAGTACTGACAAATTGCTGAAAAACCACACATTCTGTAAATTCATTAATTTCATTTCAATTCAATGATTTACTGTGTGACTGATTACATAGTTGTTGGTGAATGCTCAAATTTCCTCCTAGTTAAAAATTTAGTCATATGGATTTCTTTAAAATGCATAATTCTGCATCCTGCTTGCTACCTCAATTCAAATTCAGGATTTTGACTGGAATTTAAAAGGCATTCAACTTGATATTTATAGCACATACTGTCTGTATTATATAAATAATGTATGAAACTGTTGGTTATTATCAGAGCATGAATTAAATGTAATTTTCTTTCAGAGACTTGATAAACAGCCGGACAACAAAATTCTTCCAAAGTAATATAGAGACTGAATGCCTGTAGCCTGTCAATCTGAGTGGAGGTTGGCAAGTGAGCAGGGATGGATGTGTTTGGAGGAGCACCACGGTTCCTTGCCTACCCTCGTCCTGTGGTAGTACAAAGTGGCACAGATGCAGTTCTGAAATGCCAGATTGGTGGGGATCCCAGACCAGCAGTTATATGGGAGAGAAACAATGAGAAGATTCATCCAGAGGGAAGATACCGGGTGTTTGAGGATGGCAATGTCTATAACCTTATCATAACTTCTGTGACAATGGAGGACAGCGGGCAATACATCTGCAAGGCCAAGAACTGCATTGGAGAGACTTACGCAGCAGCCACTTTGAAAGTAGAAGGTGAAGCACAGGAGATGGAATTTCGGGAAGAAAACAAGCCCCGCTTCCTCATCAAGCCCCTCTCGACTAGAGTTGGACGAGGAGAGGATGCTGTGTTCTCCTGTAAGCTGTGGGGAAACCCTAGACCAGAAGTGATGTGGGAGAAGGATGGCAAGAAGTTGAATGAGATCTTTGAAAGCACACATTTCGCCATCAGCTATCAGGATGGAGGATGGTTCCAACTAAAGATTTTCAAGACAAGAGCACCAGATGGAGGGGTGTACACATGTAAGGCCAGGAATGAATTTGGAGAGAGTCTGGCAGGGGCTGTGCTGTTGGTGGATGCTGGACCAGGACATGAAGATGAAGGGAATCGTAACGGATACACTAATGGCCACTGGAAAGCACATCAGGGAAAACAGAGAAGTGGTAGGCAGGTTGCGACGAGGCTGAAAGATGACCCACTGCCAAACTCAGCCAAAGTGAAAATGTTTGCAGTGACAGAAGGGAAACATGCAAAGTTTCGGTGCTATGTAACAGGGAAGCCAAAACCAGAAATATTATGGAGGAAAGATGGGAGACTTATCTTGTCTGGGAGACGGTATCTTTTGTATGAAGACAGAGAGGGTTACTTCACACTTAAAGTTCTCTACTGCAAACAACAGGACAATGGAGTTTATGTCTGTTCTGCTTCAAACACTGCAGGGCAAACCCTGAGTGCTGTACACCTTTTCATCAAAGGTAAGAGTCATTTGACTAGGGATACGATCCATGCAGATCAATACAAGTGATCTTATTTATATATATATATATATATACTGTATATATATATAGAGAGAGAGAGAGAGAGAGAGAGAAATTTGGCATAAACTTAATATGGTCTGTACAATTAAGGATCCAGTTGCCATCTGTTGTGTTGAGCATTTGGTACTCTAATCAACGGTTACTTTTATGATGATTTAGTTGTATGAAATGCATCAAGGGAGCTTTAAAATTACCTGACCTGGCCAAACTCATTAACATGAAATAGATTCCACCCAGTCCTATATCTGCAAATTCACTTAGGCTTTGAAAGGCCTGAGGCTCACACATGTGATAGAAATCTCTGGAGGCAAGCTCATATTTCTCACATGGACCATCAAACAGTCAAAACTGATTGCTTTGCATGACTATACTGTATCAGAGCCAGGCAACTCCATAAAGCTCAAAAGGCTTTCAAGTCACCAGGTCTAAACTGAAAGTATGACTACTAAATCAAGCATTAACAAGACAAAAAATAATTATTATAATACTGTCAGGGATATCATATTCTCTGTAAGACATCATTCTTAAAGCAATATACTTTTTAGTAAGGTACAATAAAAAAGATAAAACATGAAAAATATAATAAGAAACAACATTTCTAAAATGTTAAATCATAAGTTTTCATGAATTTTATCTTGAAGTTAAGCCTAACTGCACCGGCAGATTTTTGTAATTTTTCCCACTTTTTTTAAATCTTATGCAGGGTTGCTTCTCAAGTAAATTTATAGTATTTCAAGAATTGTTAGATATTTTAAACAAGAACATTCTACAAAATATTAATTTCAGTATAGCTAGTATACCAATTACTTTCTCAAATGTAATAGTATAACAGTATGAAAACAACATCATTACTGATTTTAGATTACCTCATTAACACATTAGGAAATACTTTGAATTTCTAAGCATGAATATCTATGCTGGTCAAGGCTAATGTATGCAAATCGTCTTGATGGTTGGTTAGTTAGTTAGTTAGTTAGTTAGTTAGTTAAAAAGCATGATGAGGACATCAAGCACATCACAATCCAAAACACAACATACGCTGGTCATTGTTAGCGGGGTAGGTATTTGATATTTTGCAACTGCATCTCTGCAGAGATAATACAGATCTATCCATTACTGACATAAAAAAAACAGTTAGTTAGTTAGTTAGTTAGTTAGTTAGTTAGTTAGTTAGTTAGTTAGTTAGTTAAAAAGCATGATGAGGACATCAAGCACATCACAATCCAAAACACAACATACGCTGGTCATTGTTAGCGTGGTAGGTATTTGATATTTTGCAACTGCATCTCTGCAGAGATAATACAGATCTATCCATTACTGACATAAAAAAACACATTTTAAGAACTTTCCTTTTTGGGCTCTTTCCATCTTGTAACAACAGAGCCACCTGTCCGATTTAAGCAACCACTTAATGACTTGCAAGTATGGGAGAGAGACCTGGCTGTTCTTGAGTGTGAAGTTCCTGAGGACACTGTTCCAATCACGTGGTACTTAGAAGACAGACGACTACAGCCTGGAGCCAAATATGGGATGGAGGAGTGGGGGACAAAGCGACGACTCACAATTCGTGATATTGGAGTTGATGACGATGGGATATATCTCTGCGAGATGGCTGATGGGGGCAGAAGCATTGCTGAGGTAGCAGTCAAAGGTAAAAAAAACATCAACAACTTCTGCCTGGGGAAAACAAATTCTGAGCATTTGCAGCTGTATAACTTAATTGACTTCAAAAATATGGGATGGAGGAGTGGGGGACAAAGCGACGACTCACAATTCGTGATATTGGAGTTGATGACGATGGGATATATCTCTGCGAGATGGCTGATGGGGGCAGAAGCATTGCTGAGGTAGCAGTCAAAGGTAAAAAAAACAACAACAACTTCTGCCTGGGGAAAACAAATTCTGAGCATTTGCAGCTGTATAACTTCATTGACTTCAATGAAATGTACCCTTGATGTACTTAATGTAAACTTACTCTTCAAGGTACCATTGTAAGAAAGCTGCCACGAAAAGTTGACGTTCTGGAGGGGGAAAATGCAGCCTTCTGTGTGGAAGTGGAGGAGGAGGAAATGGACATTCATTGGTACAAAGATGGAACAGAACTAAGGGAGACCCATCAGACCATTCTCAAATCCTTTGGAAGGACACACATCTTGGTTTTTGTCAACACCACACCACAAGACTCTGGTATGGTCATGTTCTATGTGGGTAGATCGAAGACGTCATCGCAGCTACGGGTGAAAGGTAAGAAAACATTTGTTTGGAATGAATAATATGTAAACACACCTATTTCAGAATGTGCAAATGTGTTCATTTTCAATTAACCTCTTCTTCTCTTGTGCTAATTTCAGCTGCAAGGCACTGTCCACCAAGCTGTCCTATCGGGGTACAGATAAACACAGAACGAGCAAATGCAGCTCTCCTTTCCTGGTTTCCAGCACAAGACTCTCGGAAGAATCCACCTTCAGGGTATATAATTGAGAGGCAAGAGGTTGGCTCACAGGAGTGGCTACAATGTTTAACCACAGACTCTGCAACTTCAGTGGAGATTCTTGGTGACAGCGTTCCATGCGAGGCAGACTACAGATTTCGGATATGCAGTGTCAACAAATATGGAAGGAGTGGGAATGTAGAGTTTCCTCGAGCAGTTCACCTTGGTAAGCTCCTATTTAAGGCTATCCATTGCATACACAAAAAAGCACTAACAAATTTAATTCCCAATTCCAGTCCCAGTTGCCAGAATCCAAGCACCTCTACAAGACGCTTTAGTGCCAGAGGGCCAGGATGCCTGCTTTACCATTGAACTCTCTGCCTCAGTTATAGGCACTTGGTTCTTAAATGGAAATCAGCTTCAAGACGATGACCGTTTCTCCATAAGGCGTTCGCGTACACACCAGTCCCTACGCATTCGTGGGGTACGGGACACAGACAACGGATCAGAGATCACCTTCATTGCCTACGGAATTCGAGATTCTGCTGCTTTGTATATACAAGGTATACACTTAAGTTTGATTTCCTTGCACCGAGATATATTTATAAGTATATTAACTGTTGTACTTGTGATGTTGAACTTGCTTATATCTTCCCATCAATCAGCTCCACTGGTAAAATTCACTCCACTTTCTGAAATGGATCGAAACAAATTTGTGGAGGTTGGCAACCCTATTGTGCTCTACTGTGAGCTGTCAGACCCTGAGGCTCCAGTTCGTTGGTATAAGAATGGTGTTGAACTTCAATCAATGGAAGGTCTGCACATCCAATCAGAGGGAACAATGAGGAGGATTGTCATCCAGTCAGCTGATTTCTCCCACTCAGGAGTTTATAGTTGTGATGCTATTGATGACATCATCAGGTTTAACGTGGAGGTTGAGGGTGAGTCTTTTCTGTTCTTAATATTCCGTTCTTCAAAGTTGTTAATCAGCTTCATAATGTTGACATGTTGGGAATCTAAGAATGAAGGCATTTATTAATAACATTAATTTGCATTCCTATGAATCAAAATCAAATGAGTATGTCCAACAATGGAATCTTGCACTTCCAAGTCTCTAAAGTTTACCAAATAATGCTGAACCAAAACACATATAGCTCCACTGGTGAGGTTCTCCGTTCTTCCGGAGGATGAGAGGAACAAGTCCATTGAAGCAGGCTCACTGATAGTACTGCAATGTGAGCTCTCAGATCCACTCGCCCAGGTCTCCTGGTATAAAGATGGTGTGAAGCTTCTACCACAAAGTGGACTAGACTTCAAGTCCAAGGGCACAAAGAGGCAACTGATTGTCCAGTCAGCTGAATTTTACCACTCAGGGGTGTACAGCTGCAAGACAAGGGGTGATGCTGTACACTTCAATGTGGATGTTAAAGGTGATTAAAATGTTTGCTAGTGAATTAAATTACAATTATATTTTGCCTGACAAACAATGGCAGATTTTATTTAGATCTGATTGATTGATTGATCTGGTTGATTAAGACTAATTACTCAATGGCAAAGTTGATTAAGTGTAAGATTAAGACTAAGATTAAGATTATTTTGTTATATTAATAATAATGACTATTAAAACCATAAAGTAAGGACTTAAACACTCTACAATATCCATAGCCCCACCTGTGAGGTTCTCTGCTGTCCCTGAGGTTAAGCGGAGAAAGTGCATTGAAGCAGGCTGCCCCATTGTTCTGCAATGCGAGGTTTCAGACTCTACTGCACAGGTCCAGTGGTACAAAGATGGGGATCAGCTCCTTGTAGAATCTGAAGTAGACTTCAAATCAGATGACTGCATGAGAACACTCAGTATTCAATCAGCACACCCATCTCATGCCGGTGTGTACAGCTGCACAACAAAGGATGATGTCATCAAGTTTCATGTGGAGATACGAGGTGATTTTGGCCAAATTTATTCCTCACTTACAAATTAACTATATGTCTTCTTGCAATTATGCCACTAACAATCACTGCTTTCTGTATTGCTCTTTTGTCACATTCTTTAGTACCTCTGTCACCATTTTTTCTGCTTTAGCTTTACAATTTTGGATTATCTTTTCATTATGTCATGATTTTCTTGTATATTCAGTTGTTACATGTTATCTTAAAGCAAAAGGTCTTTTAATCTGGTTATTTTCTGGTAATTCTTGATGATTCTGATATAAACCGTCATCTGTAGCTCCATCGGTGAGGTTCTCAGCTGTTCCTGAAGCTGAGACGAATAAATGCATTGAAGCTGGTGGCCACTTTGAACTCCACTGTAAGCTCTCAGACCCTACAGCCCAAGTCAGCTGGTTCCACAACGATACGCAGCTTCAGCCAGAGACTGGTTTGGATATTCAGTCAGAGGGAGATGTAAGGACACTGGTAGTCAATCCAGCTGAGCCCAGTCATTCTGGATTGTACCGCTGTGAATCATCTGACGACTCGGTCCAGTTCACTGTGGATATCAAAGGTGATTTATGACTTTTTGAGAATCTTGTACATCCAGTAACACATCTGCAAAACTAGATGCAAACTAACAATCAAGCTTTTTGTTGTCTGCGTCTCTTAGCAGTGCTGTTATGGACATGCCTCTCACCATTGCATCCAACTTGTCGGCAGTGATTTGATACAGATGTTACATGTTTTGCATTATTTAACTTGCTTCTTGGCAGATGGTCTGAGAAATCACAGATAGGCAGTCTAGATTACTTTTTAATAAAGGATATTAATTATGTATATTCTTTAATAATGCAACGGATCACCCTTAGATCCACCGGTGATGTTCTCAGCATTACCAGACACAGTGAAGAACCAGCTGGTTGAAGCAGACTACTCCACTGATTTGCACGGTGAGATCTCAGGTCCAAATGCCAATGTGTGTTGTTACAAGGATGGTGTAGAGCTCGTCTCAAAAAGTCAGCCTCATATCAAATCGGAGTGTACCAGGAGGACGTTAGCTGTCAAGACAGCACAGCCCTCTAACTCTGGATGGTACGACTGTGTGAGAACTGGTGATGCCATCCAGTTTAATGTACAAGACCAAGGTGATTTTCAAATATTTGCTCCTAATATACTTAATGTATTTGTGTGACAACTAACAATTGTGTGCTTTATGTAGCTTTTTTTTTTAAATCTCTTTAAATGTATTCTGACAATGTTACTTGTATGTCCTTGGCTTCAATGGCCATAATTGGTTCTGTCTTTCTGAGTTTAGAAAATTAGTCACTTACAATGAATAAAGCATTCCTCTGTCAATGGTCATCTGTAGTGCCACCACCAACATTTTTGGCTGATCCTGAAGTTGAGAAGACCAAATGCACTGAAGAAATGGAACCTGTTGCACTACATTATGAAATTTCAGATACCACTCCATATGTCAGCGAGACAAAAGACGAGAAGGTCATGCCTTCTCAATCTGAACCTGAATTTAAATCTGATTTGGAACTTGAATCCAAATCTGAATCTGAACCTGAAGTTCACTCAGACGCATCCAGAGGAACTGTAATCATCCACACACCAGAGACATCTCTTTTCGAAGTAAACAGCCAAAAGACATCAGATGATCCCATCCCGTTTGAAATGGACCAAGGTGGTTTGCCACTTATTTGTACGCCATTCTGAATTAGGAGCATTAACATGGCTGAAGCAAGTCAGTTATTGTTTTTTTTGTGGCTTTTCTAACAGCAGAACTGTCTCACTATGAGGTGTTCAGTGGTGAGACCTATGATGACTCTGTCCAGTGCACTGTGGATATAAAAGGTGATATAATGCTACCTCAGAAGGTCATGCTTTCTCAATCTGAGCCTGAACCTGAATTTCAACTTGAATTGGAACTTGAATTCAAACCTGAACCTGAAGTTCACACAGACGCATCCAGAGGAATTGTAATCATCCATGCGCCTGAGACATATCTTTTTGAAGTAAACAGCCAAAAGACACCAGATGATCCCATCCCGTTTGAAATGGACCAAGGTGGTTTGCCACTTATTTGTACGCCATTCTGAATTAGGAGCATTAACATGGCTGAAGCAAGTCAGTTATTGTTTTCTTTGTGGCTTTTCTAACAGCAGAACTGTCTCACTATGAGGTGTTCAGTGGTGAGACCTATGATGACTCTGTCCAGTGCACTGTGGATATAAAAGGTGATATAATGCTACCTTAACCCAAGCATTTAACCCAGTGCCTCTGTGCCACTAACAAGGGTGGTTTTAACTATCCAATGGCTCTTCCTGGAGATGCTGGTCCCCTGCATCTTGGTTACCTTCCCAAAACTAATCCATGCTATCATGTCTTTATCCAACATCCAGTTGGTCTGCAAACCCTTCTTCCAAACTAACACTCATTCAATAGACTTACCTATCTTCATTCTTCATTGAAGCACATTTAAACTTAGACTGTATACGTCTACATTTGCTTGAGTCATCTTATCCATGTGTCATTCAGAATCATCATCAGTGTTGTCTTGACTGAATTATGTTACAGAGAGCTGAAATACAGAATGAATAGTTGAGTGAATGAAAGTTGGTGATATGACTTCTTGTGTAACTGTGTTTTAACCAATGTTTGGCTTGTTTTAGACCACTATGTGATATGGTCATCACTCTTACATTTTTACAATCTTGAAATACTCTTAAAAATTAACCAGCTTTTCTGACTATGAAGACAGAAAAGAACTTCACCTTTTCTTTGTGCAAACAATTCAACTATAGAAGAGTTCCTGAGAACATCAGGAACTGAGGCTGAGATCAGATCTGAAAAAGAGAACAACAATCTCTCAGCGGAGAGATCTGGAGAAGAGATCCAGTGGGATACCCCAGTGTCTGTAACTACAACCTTCAGATTGATTGAAGAGGAACAACAGCCACAACCAATGCTACAGCTACAACCAATGCTACAACCACAGCTACAACCAATACTACAGCCAGAACTACAACCAATGCTACAGCCACAGTTACAACAAATGCTACAACCACAACTACAACCAATGATACAACCAATGCTACAGCCACAGCTACAACAAATGCTACAACCACAACTACAACCAATGATACAACCAATGCTACAGCCACAGCTACAACCAATGCTACAACCACAGCTACAACCGATACTACAACCAGAGCTACAACCACAGCTACAACCACAACTGCAAACAATGCTACAACCACAGCTGCAACCAGCAAACCAGATAAATACTTCAGTTTCTGAAGATGAAGGCTCAAATCACATCACAATACAAGAGAGTGACATGGATCAAGATGTCTTAGCTTTTAAGGTGGATGTTGAAGGTGATTTAAATAGTTAGCTCCATCATTCTGCAAATAATGATGGGAGCAAAATATATGCCATTGACATTTACCACCTAACAACCACTTATCTGAAAAAGAGAACAACAATCTCTCAGCGGAGAGATCTGGAGAAGAGATCCAGTGGGATACCCCAGTGTCTGTAACTACAACCTTCAGATTGATGGAAGAGAAACAACAGCCACAACCAATGCTACAGCTACAACCAATGCTACAACCACAGCTACAACCAATACTACAGCCAGAACTACAACCAATGCTACAGCCACAGTTACAACAAATGCTACAACCACAACTACAACCAATGATACAACCAATGCTACAGCCACAGTTACAACAAATGCTACAACCACAACTACAACCAATGATACAACCAATGCTACAGCCACAGCTACAACAAATGCTACAACCACAACTACAACCAATGATACAACCAATGCTACAGCCACAGCTACAACCAATGCTACAACCACAGCTACAACCGATACTACAACCAGAGCTACAACCACAGCTACAACCACAACTGCAAACAATGCTACAACCACAGCTGCAACCAGCAAACCAGATAAATTCTTCAGTTTCTGAAGATGAAGGCTCAAATCACATCACAATACAAGAGAGTGACATGGATCAAGATGTCTTAGCTTTTAAGGTGGATGTTGAAGGTGATTTAAATAGTTAGCTCCATCATTCTGCAAATAATGATGGGAGCAAAATATATGCCATTGACATTTACCACCTAACAACCACTTAACGTCATTCTTCTCTATTCGGATCCATTACTGAATCTGAATAACTCCGAAAACTTCAACTTACTGACTTAGATACAAAAACAGCGTTTTATATTTATTTACCTGTAGAATTCCATCACCAAATATGTATCTAACAAAGATCACCTCACTAAAAAAATTATATTGTATCATCTAACTTCTAGCCAAAATCGTGTCATTTTAATATATAAGTAATAAAAAAGATACAAGCCTATAGTAAGATTATTGATTGTAAAGCTATAAATAAGTGCAGTTTATTTAGCTTAGCTAATGTAAAGTATACAATGTAATGTGTCATAATTGTAATACATGTCTCTTTTCATATAACTTGAAATATCCCTAGCCTCGAGGACAAATTCCACACCAGTTTGTGGAATGGATGAAAGCATTGATGCAGACTGTTCCAGGGTACTGCTAACTGAGAAATCCGACCACACAATCCAAGAAAAACTTATATCCTGCCAAGAAGATGAGACAACCGTAATATTCAATAAACCTACAACACAGAAAGAGCTCATCCAGTCATCAGAGATGTGTTTGCAAGAAGCATATGAGACTGTTACCAAGGATGAATTTGTTGTACATCAAGAGGAAGTGAAAGGTGACTCAAGATTGTTTTTAACACACCATGAATAATCAAAAGCAACTAACTTTGTCTGGCTTTTGCTTAGATGTTCTGTACCCTAGTCAACCAAATTGTTTTACACTTACACTCTTAATAGATAACTCACGATAAACATTGCTTTGTCTCCTCAAAACTGAAGAACCTTGTCATAAAGCAGAATTCTTTACACTACCACCAGAAGATGAAGTTGTCAGACCCACTGAAGGTGATTCTCCAGTTCACTGTTACAAGGACAGAATGCAGTTCTACTCTGAAAATGGACATACGCTTGAGGAAAGTGTGCGAAGACTGAATGTTCCAGTTATAGGCTCGGGTCAATCAGGCGTAAACAACTACAAGGCAAAGGATGATGACATAATATTTAAGGTGGATGTCAAAGGTGATTTTAAACTAGTTTAAATCCACACTGCTACATCAGTTCCAGTCATTTAATCATATATTAAAATCAAAGAAAAAAAACATGAAATGAAATTACTAGATCTAAAATAAAAAACCTTTAATACGGATTAAATGATACTAGTAAATGATACTGATACTCAGAATATAACTTCAATGCAGTATAACTTTTATTTTTTCTCATTGCTATTTATTTTAAATATTACCTGTTTAGGTCAAATTATCTGCATTAAAACATATTAAATTAAACCCCTTAGCTACATCTTTGCAAACTTCATCTATCCATGAGACTGACAGGAGCAAGTCAAATGATGGAACAGATATTGCTAATTTTCCACAACCTGAGGTATCGAGCACAATGGCAGAGGTGTTCTGGTACAAGGAAGGCGAGGAACTCCAAGAATGCGACATTATCACGCGATCTAAGGAGACTTTCAGAGCTCTTGTTGTGAAAACAGCCGAGCCGTCTCACTCTGGAGAACATGCTTGTGAGACAGATGATGTCACCGTCCAGTTTGCATACCTACCAGGTGATTCATCAGTCATCTACGCCAGCTCAATCCATCCGATTACCAAACTAACCACTTCGATCATGCAATGGTTACTAACTCTGTTGAATTTGTTGTTCGGATAAAAGACAGACTAATAGGTTGCTGTACGATGTTGTTACTGCGGATAAACATTTTAGTAAAGACAATAGTATTATTATTTGCATTTGCATTTGCATTTGCATTTCATAGCAGCATCCGGAAAAGTTAAAGTAACATCACTCTGTTGAATTTGTTGTTCGGATAAAAGACAGACTAATAGGTTGCTGTACGATGTTGTTACTGCGGATAAACATTTTAGTATTAGTAAAGACAATAGTATTATTATTTGCATTTGCATTTGCATTTCATAGCAGCATCCGGAAAAGTTAAAGTAACATAATTTACAAAACAGTAATTCGTTGACAAATTGGCATTAACAAGTTCTCAAATATGTTTAAGGAAACTTAAAAGTAATTGTCTCATTCAGATATCTATTTAGTAATTATCATGTTGATTACAAATACTACTAATAATTTACAATGATATACTTCTTAGGTATGCTACAGGAAATCACTAACTAACAAATGTACAAAGGCAAAGGCCTGATACATACACAAGTAACACAACTAAATTCATCTTCAGTATGTTTGTCTTTGATGTTTGTTGCCCATGTTTTGTCTTTGTTGTAAAATATCTGTGACTTTGAATGTTGTCTTTTACTCTTGCGCTACTAATTTTTCATCTTATGTTCTGAAGTTCATGTCTGTTTTCTGTGTTTTCTTCCCATTTTATTGATCATTACAGTAAATCATCAATATATTCTTACAGTAATTTAATTTCATGCCAAACAGGCTCTTTCATAAAACACTGAATGTTAGTCAATATTTTGACTCATTCTTGAGAATCAAGTTTTGAGAAAAACTATAAATGCATGTATGTTTTATAAAAAAGGAAACAAACAATATAAAAGTAAATGTGTCTGTACAAAATTGTCTGTAGCTCCACCTGTGACGTTCTCCAGTGTCCCTGAGGCTCAACGGACCATATGCATTGAGTCAGGAAGACCCTTTAAACTACAATGCGAAGTCTCAGACCCTGATGCACAAGTCTGGTGGTACAAAGATGGGAATGAGTTGCTTCCTCAAGATGGTATGGTTACTGTGTATGAAGAAGCCGTGAGAACACTCTCTGTGCAAAGTGCTGAATTATGTCACAGCGGAACATACAGCTGCCAGACAAACAATGATGCCATCTCATTCCATGTGGAAATCAAAGGTGATTTGATGTTTTCTTTCATGAAGATACATACCACAGTTGTGTGTATACTGAGCAAATCACGCAATCTCCTTTATAACTATGTATTGTGGATATTAAGGTGGCAAATATTTTGGCCTTCATCCCTTAAAAGTAGTGTTTACTGATTGTCACTCAAGCACATACATTCATAAATAGGAAAAAACAACTTATTAGCCAGTGATTTTCCACTAAATCATGCAGCTCCTTCTCTCTGCTAGGGGTGGGCGATATGACCAAAATCTTAATTTATGATATGAAAAAAATCCTGATAACAATCCTGATAGTAATTTTTGTTATTTTATTATTCTAACTCATTAAAAATAAGAAGCAAATTACAAACAATAGGACAAATATAACAAAGGGACAAATTAAAATATTTTTTCAGGTACAGTCAGTATTTAATGTGCAGTAATAAATACTACAGAAACGGAATAATCAAATGTAAAAAAAAAACTGCATAGTCTTCACTATATTATTTCAAAATAAATATATTCTTATTAAGCTACAAAAGAGCAGTAAGTTATTTTATTTTTTTCTCAGATTTATATTAGGCTGCTGTCACTTTAAGACCAAATGCACGGTTCAAATATAATGGCATGCATACAGTTTCCTCTCAACTGTCTACATTCACATAAGCAGCTGTGTTTACGTGAATATTCTACACAATGGACATTTTGACATAATTGTGTGTGTATTTATTTTGACCATTCAAGTGCAATAAGATACAAAAGAAAGCAGAATTCGCAATTGCATGCCGAGAGGCGGTTTTCTGTGCGTGCGCTTCAGCTGTTACAGTCAATGCGTGACCACTGCAATGAGTTCTTTTTCACAGCTTATTGTGTTTAATAACTATATTTAACATCATGCACGTCCCAAATTTATGGTCGCATGGCGCATACTGTCTGAGAGAGGTGGCTTTCACTGCGCGTGCTTCGCAGGTGTGTCAGTCAGTGCGAACACAAATACCGTAATATACACTATACTAGTGTTGCCAAATGTACTGACTTACCAGGTACCAGTCGGTACTGCAATTTAAAAAAGGTCCATTTCCCGCTGTTGAGTGGATTCTTAAACACCGCTGATTGGCTATAGTGTTCACGCGCACAACAGATATGACTGTGATTGGCTACAATGATCATCGCTTCACACTCTTCACCGAGCACTCACACAGAAGCACATAGGAGTGTTTGAAAGCCGTGTCTATCAGTGCGGATCCGTCTATGTGCAGATATATTAGGGCTCCGCTGATAGTCGCGGCCAATCACAGTCATATCTGTTGAGCTCGTGAACACTATGGCCAATCAGCGGTGTTTAAGAATCCGCTCAACAGCGCTCAAATGTTAGTGGGAAATGGACGTTTTTAAAATTGCGGTAACAAAAGTCGGTACTTTTGGCAACACTACACTATACTAGAGTTAAGTATCTAAAGATAGACCATTTATATTCTACCATCGCCACAATATACATTGTCATAACGCCCAGCCCTACTTTATGCCATTCACACCTTTGTAGCTCCATCACTGAAGTTCATGCCAATTTCAGAAGTGGAGAAGAACAAGTCCACTGAAGTAGACTCCCCAAATGTTCTGAAATGTGATCTATCAGACGCTACCACAGAGGTGCTCTGGTGCAAAGATGGTAGAGAGCTGGCCCCAAACCCTGGGCTCAATTTCCAAACAGATGGAAATATGAGGAAACTAACTGTTCAATCAGCAGAACTGTCTGATACTGGAAACAACACCTGTCATGCTCCAGGTGATACTGTATCATTCAAGGTGGACGTTCAAGGTGATTTTCACAACACTACCACACAATTAACTATTGTTTCATGGCACATTAGATATTTCTTTCATTTCTAATCACTCCTGTTGAAAAACGTACCTCATGTAAGGTCTTTACCATCCATTGAAACCCTGCTTATCTCACTTCTTGATAACTTAATAGCAAACCCCGTGACTAACACATTTGTAGGTTAAGACTGCCTAATTGTCTTTTGAAAGATTTGAAAACGATTCATGTTTTTGGCACAAATTAATTTGTCAATAATCTACTTTTTTTTAAATTTTCCAAATTTTCATAGCACACCCTGTTAGGTTCTCAGCACATTCTTGATAACTTAATAGCAAACCCCGTGACTAACACATTTGTAGGTTAAGACTGCCTAATTGTCTTTTAACAGATTTCATGTTTTTGGCACAAATTAATTTGTCAATAATCTACTTTTTTTTTAAATTTTCCAAATTTTCATAGCACACCCTGTTAGGTTCTCAGCACTCCCAGAAATTGCGAGGAACAAGTTTATCGAAGCAGGCTGTCCCATTATACTTCAGTGTGAAATCTCAGACCCTACTGCCCAAGTTTCCTGGCTCAAAGATGGAGTCGAACTCCTACAAGACAGTGGGCTTGACATCCAGTCAGAGGGCACTATGAAGAGAATGATCATCAAATCAGCTGAGCTCAAAAACTCAGGCGTGTACAGCTGTGAGGCTGTAGATGATCGCATAGCATTCAAGGTGGATGTTGCAGGTGATTTTGAGTCTACATACTTTCTCAAAACCACTAACAATGAGTCAAATAACGCTTCATCCACTAAATGCTGTTTGCCCTTATCAGAGTTTAACAAAATAAACATTCATAACCAAATAATCAAAGCCTCTCTTGTTAAACACTAAAATGATCTCCTCGCCACTTTTGCTGACACAAACTGTAAAAAGGATTATAAAGGTTTTTGAACATCTTCCAAATCACTTACTATACAATATTACTATATTGTATAGATAATGTCACCTAATTTAGACATGCTCATTAACTTGCTCAGAAGAATACGCTTCAGAACTACAGTAGCAAATAACATGAGATACGATGATATTCACTCGGAATCAGCAAAATGTCTCATTCATTAGCCATACATAAGTTTGAATCTTTTTCATCATTTCATTTCATTGGTTTTCATATCTTAGAAAGGTTTTTTGGTAATTCTATGAATTTGACTGAACAAAAATCCTCTTAGCTCCACCAGCGATGTTCTCAGCTGTTCCTGAGATTGAGAAGAGCAAGTCCGTTGAAGCAGGCTGGCCAATCATTCTCCAATGTGAGATATCTGATCCTACAGCCCTGGTCCAATGGTACAAGGATGGATTACAGCTCCTACCTCAATCTGGGGTTTACATCCAATCACAGCACACCATGAGGACACTGGTTATCCAATCAGCAAATGTATCCCACTCTGGGTTTTACAGTTGTAATACTGCTGATGATATCAGCGAATTTTTTGTGGATGTTAAAGGTGACATACAATATCCAAAGTATTCTGTTATATAACTAACAAATACATCATTTTGTAGAGTTCCGTTTTCATTGGGTGAAAGCATTCTTCTCTACCTTCAACAGATCCATTCTTGCTGCTTTATGGGCTCCTTAACCATTTCCCTAATGCAGGAATATATCTGAAGCTTCACAAGTTTGTTTGCAGCATTTCCACCAACTACTACTATTCTTAAATGCTATTTAACCAGCATCTTGTTTCTCTTTATTTTTAAAGAAACCATTTATGCTGGGCAAGCATGTAACCTTTATTATCTGTGCTTAACAGCACTTAATTCTCACAAAGCTTTCATTAACTGTATTCTCTTTTTCTTTGTATTACATTTGGCTTTTAGAGTGGAGAAAGTTATACAGGGCTGCCCATGCAATCATCATCAGTGCTTGAATTGCATGCTTCACGTCATACTTGTGTGACAAATTAAAAGCAGCACAACATAAAAACTAAGGTCCATTTCCTTTTCATTGCAGCACCTCCTGTGACATTTGCCTACATACCAGAAGATGATCTGCACAGAAATATTGTGGAACAAGACAATCTACTCCTTTGCTGTCAAGTGTCCAGGTCAGATGCTACTGCACAATGGTACAAGGATGGAGTAGAGCTAAAGCCTAGTGACAACGTCCTCATAGAGGCAGAAAACACTATACGAAGACTGATCGTCCTGTCAGCTCAACTCTCAGATTCTGGGACGTACACCTGTCGTGCTGGAGATAGTGCATTAATATTTAAAGTTAACGTGAGAGGTGAGTAAATATGTCTATATTCATACCAACAACTCGAAATCTGATCAAATTTACAAGGCCGTGTAACTATTTTCTTTTGCTTCACAGAACCTCCAGTGATGATTGTATATCCCAAGGAAGATGTCCACCTTGATCGCTATGTTCCCGAAGAAATTGTCCTCAGCTGTGAACTTTCCCGGCCAAATGGAAAGGTGACATGGTTCAAGGATGGACAGAAACTACAGGAGAGTGAAAACATAAAGCTAAAGTCAGAGGGTCCGTACAGACGACTAAAAATTCTGCGCAGTGGTGTTGAGGACTCAGGAGAATATGTCTGTGACACAGCTGATGATTCAATATTCTTCAATCTAAACATTAAAGGTATCAAATTTAGGTTTAAAATATATTGCATGTAGAGAATTCTGATGTCAGCCAGAAGGAAAGTTGTTGCAGCAGATCAGATCAAGATATTCAGTTGGATAACAGATTACTAAGACATGCATTGCTGAATTTGCGCGAAGTGAGAATGATCAGGAACATGCATTAGGAAAGTAACATGTTTACATGTTTTCCTATAGAACCACCAGTGCGCATAGTTTCTCCTAGTCAGTCCCAAATGGAACTTTGCCAACAGACTTCTGAGAGGATGGTCCTGAGCTGTGAAATCTCTAGACCAAACGCCACTGTACGTTGGTATCGAGATGGACTTGAAGTGGAGGAGAGTGACAGCCTAATTCTGGAGGTTGATGGTGTCTATAGGAGACTTATTATCCCAAAACCTACCGTCAAAGACTCTGCAGAATATGTCTGTGACACTGCTGATGACTCAGTGACCTTCTTTGTAAACATCGCAGGTGTGTCAAAGACCAACTATTTAATAATCCATAATAATAATAATAAAAACAGCTTCAGTTCTCAATGTCCATAATGACTTTATTTCTTCATGCAGAGCCACCAGTTAGATTTATTCGGCCAAGGAAAATGGCCTATGGAGTAGAGAAACTTGTTGGAGACATTGTGGTTCTTGAGTGTGAAGTGTCTCGACCAAATGCTGAAGTTAGTTGGAAGAAGGATGCAGAAGAGATTGAGGAGAACAGCAACATAACTATCACAGAGGATGGAACAAGTCGACAGTTAACCATTCACTCTACAGCTTTTGAAGATGCAGGGCAATATATCTGTGATGCTAGAGATGATGTGATGGATTTCCTAGTGAAAATCAAAGGTACATTTCTGTGATAAGCATATTCAAATGCTTTGATGAATCCATCACTGCAACTAACTAAAATTTTACCCTCTTTCTTCCAGATCCACCACTAAAAATTCTGCGGAAAGCTGACATAGAAACAAAACGCAGATTTGTAGTATCTGATGCCATTGTGTTAAAATGTGAGATCTCAAGACCAAATGGGGTGGTCAGTTGGCTTAAAGACAATGAGAAGATTGAGGGAAATGAGCATTTTATCTGTGAAGAGGAAGTGACATTCAGATCCCTGATTGTCCTGAGCGCTGAGTTGAAGGACTCAGGGGAGTACATATGTGATGCACAAGATGATAAAGTTGTCTTCAGTGTTACTGTAGAAGGTACTGCTTGTTAAAAGGCAATGTAAACAATGAAAAGCATGCACATACTTGTTCAAAGAAAATATACAAAACTTTACCTTTACCTGTGCCTTTAGCTTGTCACTGGGGCAGAACCCTCAAAAGTACACTTTTGTATCTTATTTACCCACTTATGGTACCATTAGGCATAGATAAGGTACACCGTACCTTTAAGGTTACTGCACCATTGACAAACTGCTGTTCCCCCTAACGATTTTTGCACAAATATTTTTGACAGTGTACTTTAAAAATAACTAATTATTTTTGCTCAGAGGCTCCAGTGTCTATTGTTGGAAATTCAGAGAAGCCAGAACACCACATTTTAAAGACAGGAGATGAGCTTATCCTGGAATGTGCGGTATCTCAAGTAAATGCTATAGTCCAGTGGTACTTCAATGGACGTTTACTGCAAGAGGATTCACGCACACACATTGAAAGCAGAGACACAACGAGGAAGCTTGTGATATCAGAACTTCAGATATCTGACTCTGGAGAGTATCTTTGCGATGCCATTGATGACAAAATGACAACTAGACTAACAGTTCAAGGTAAATTTACCAGTAGCATAGCCAAGAAAACCCAATTTCAAACATATCAATTAAACCACTTTGCATACAATCACTAAATATCACATTTTTTCACAGTACCACCATTCAAATTTATCAAAAAAGATGAAAGAACAAATATTTCAGCCTATGAAGAAGACAGTGTGACACTACGTGCCACTGTTAACAGGGTCAATGCCCCAGTTATATGGCAGAGAGGCCATGATCCAGTCAGAGGTGATCGTTTCCACACAACAAGTGATGGTAACACCCACTACCTCACTATTAACCCACTTAAGAGAAGTGATACTGGAGAATACACGTGTCATGTGGGATCTGACGAGATGCATTTCAGTGTCCATGTTAAAGGTAAGACCAGGGAATGGGCTGTGAAATTCTACAACTCTACAAAGTGTTATATGTGACTGCTTGTAAAAGATCTCTAGTAAAGTGTTGTCTAAATTGTTTCCTAATCAGCAATGAAAGTGAAATTCTCAAAACCACTAGAAAACGTAGTGGGACTCAAAGGGAGTGATGTGGTTTTAAAATGTGAACTGTACAAGTCAAAAGGAGATGTTCAGTGGCTTAAGGGAAGCCAAGAGATTGCACCAAACAGACATTTTACAATCAGAGCTGAGGGTCGAGTGAGAAGCCTGACAATACATGATGTCACAGAAGAGGATGCAGGAGAGTATGCTTGTGAATCTAAAGATGAAAGGACATCAGCAACTGTAGTGGTCAACAGTAAGTTCAATTCTACCAAAGGATTTACGTTAATCTGCATAAAGCTTGACCTGAAATCATGAATGAATCACATATTAATTTAGTGCCAATTTCCTTCTCTTCTTGTCCCAAGTTCCTCGCATTGTGGAGTTTATTGCAGAGCTACACAACATAACTGTCATGGAAGGAGAAGACGCAATATTTAAGTGTGTGGTATCTCCAGAGGATGCAAAGTTGGCCTGGTTTAAGAATGGCCAGCCAATTTCATCAAATGAGAAGTTCAACATCTCAAGTAATGGATTATGCCATATGCTGCATATCAACAACTGCCAAGTCTCAGATAGCTGCAAGTTGACAGCCGAGGCTGAAGGTGTGATTTCCAGAGCTATCCTACAGGTCCAAGGTAGAATACCATCCATTATTATTTGACTGCTTTACTTGATTTTTGTTTGCTTACAAATCAATCAGAATGCGACTTATGAACATGTATTCTTAGCATCAACCTATGAAGTAACCAATTAACTAATGGGTATTTTTCTACAATTTTCTTCAAAATAATATTTGGAATGCAGAGAGTGATATATTTTAAGAGCCTGTGCAGGTCTTTAATGCCATGTCAACATGTTTGAGTTTAATAATGACCCTTTCAGACATGCCTGAATTTTTGAAAAGGTGCTTATGATGGCTTGTGCTTAGCAGCTTCTCCAGTTAGAATTCCACTCTTAACTGACAGAGACAAGTGTTACTACAGTACATAGCAATGTAGAATGAGGAGCTGTACTCCAAGCACATGAAATAATGTCATTCTCATTGGCTCTGCTCGTTGGTTTTCAAATATAAAGACTTTTCTAAAGTGTTCAAATGCTATGGGAAAAGATCTTATCATTTAACCTTATCTGTATTCAGAGGCACAGGTGCTTTTCACGAAGAGCATGGACCCGGTGGTTGCAGAGGAGTTTGGTGAGGCAACACTTGAGGTGGAGGTCAGCCTTGAGACTGCGGAGGTGCAGTGGATGAGACAAGGAGTGGTTATACATCCAGGGTCCAAATTCACCCTGAAGCAGAATGGCCAAAAACGTTCTCTCACAATCCACAAACTCACCCTTTCAGACCGCGGCACCTACAGCTGTGAAACGCTTCATGACCGCACACAAGCCAAGCTCACTGTGGAACGTGAGTCTGCACTACTGCTTTCTTTCTCACTATGTGCTGTTGTTAGCATTTCTTTATGGTGATGGTCCCTCATTACTGCCCGTTGCGATGTTGTTGTCTTAAACAAACTGAATCAAGTGACCAAGAGTAATGCGAGCAGGAGGCAGCTACTTTAGTGACACTGGTTCCACGGTTTGACAGCAGCAAACAGGTGACTGGCACACTACTTACTGAGTCCTGGGGAACAGCTTTCTGTATTGACATTAGATCAGAAGAGTTATGATAATTTAATTAAGCATGCCAAATGAGAACTGGATCAAGAGCTGGTAAAAGGTCCTGGCTAAGTAACCTTTTAATTCCTCTTAGTTGCCTGTGAAACACAGATATTATGAGAGGATAAAAGTTTAATGTGGCTCTACTCACAACTGATTTCCATTGCCTTCAATACATTTATTAGTCAGTCTTATTTCAAACCTATCATACAAGATTTTCAATATCTCTTAACATAAATTTTCGAGATAAAATTAATTTACTCTTTAGAAAACAAGCAATTAATTACCAGTGATATACATTCCTTTCAGGATAGGTCAAGACGATGAAGCTGTGTTGTACAAATGAGCAAATGATGAGAGAAAGTCTGCACTTTGGCTGTTCCTGGCACCAACTATGAATCTGGATCTGTTTTCATTGCAGCTAAATTTATGCACTGGCCTTCAAAATCTAGGGTGGTGTCACCAACTCTCTAAAATAAACCCCTCTTTTCCACGGGGAATGCCTGTCTGCCTGTCTGTTTTGGAAAACTTAAAAAAATGTTGGCATAGCCCTGGTTGAAGGCAGGATTTAGTGTATTGCAAACACCAAGCGGACAAAACCGTGCCAACTAATTCAACAACTGTTGCTCTATTTTTTCTCTTTATTACCTTTAGCTTTCATCTTAATCTCTCTTTCTTTTCCAAACAATTCTCTGATATCTAATTGCATCACCATTGAAAAATACTTTTTTTTTGCATTTAACAACCTGTGCTTCTCACACAGCACGAAAAATCAAGATTCAGAAAGATCTAACTGAGATCCAGACTTACGAACGAGAGACGGCTTCTTTTGAGGTGGAGCTGTCACATGGCAATGTGGATGGTGTGTGGCAGAAGGATGGGCACATTCTCAAAAACAACAACCGCTTGCGGATGACTGCAAAAGGACGAGTACACAGCCTAACCATCTCCAACCTGACCTTGGATGACACTGGCACCTACATATTCTATGTTGAGAACATCAGATCACTAACAAGATTGGAAGTTAAAGGTACTGTGCAAATGAAAACTATTTCTATAGCAGAAACATAAAAGGGCAGTTCGCCCCAAAAGGAAAATTAAGTAATTATTTACATTATTTAGCAGATGTTGTTCTAATCCTGTATGCCCTTCTTTCTTTTTCGAACCACAAAAGGAGAAATGTTCTCAAATGTCTTCATCTACATACTGTAATGGCTGTGAAAAGCAACCAGCTACACACTTGATCACAAAATGATTCCATGCAACTTGTGCTTTCTTCTCTGTAGTAAATATATTTGTTGTGTTCCAGTTGTAGCAACAACAAAATGAGTTTGCATGTTCACATCATCAGCTTTCGTTCTGACAACTGGAGTTCGGGTCTGGAGATACTCACCTCAGAGAAGAAAGTACACAGATACTTTTTGGTTTTTCTAGGTTTTGTGGTTTGTGTAGGGTTTTTATTAATTATTAATTAATTATCGCCAGTCACAGTGTAGACACAGCGTAACGTTACAAAAGCATTATTTTTAAGGAATCTCCCGATCTTGCCAGTAAGATAATGTTAGTTTTTTCACTTCATTTTATTGTGGATTTATTTTTAACTAATTCTAACTAAATTCTGTTTTTTTATGTAAAAATCTTGCTAACATTCTAAGTAGACATCACAGAACATTATAAAACTTTTAAAAACTGCAATTCATGACCTCTTTAATATCTTGTGTGGGGTTACTTCTCAAGTAAATTCATCTTTCAAGGATTTTTTTAGACACATAAACTGGAAATTTAGATTTAAAATACTCATCTGCGATTCAGTGTTAAAATACTTTCTAGTATAAAGTGGAAGGACAACTAAAAGTATGTAATTGATAGGCTAACTATTTGGCTGTGTGGCACCTTTAAAACATTGCTTTGTTTATTTAAGCTGCCTGACATCAACTCCAGGCTCAACCGATGACATGAGTTCAGGGCAGGACAACTCTTATTTTAAAGGGTTATTTATTGTTAGTTTAGAAAACTTGTTTGTGAACTAGTGGTGCAGAAATTACACAAATGCTAAAGAGATTTAGCAGTTCTGTAAGATTTAGCCACTGGTCTAAACCACCCGTATGCCTTTAACCTTACACCTTCTCTCCAACACCCTACCATACAAAAACGGGCACCCAAAATGATCTGAAACACATATCCAAAATCCTTAAATAACCTATGAAGGTCATGCATATACTCATATTAATTTATAGCGTCAAGATATACAGGCTTGCAATAATCTGGATCTTGTTTCTTAATTGCTTTGGCAACAATTAACATATAAGGGGTGGAATTTGGCCATGATCAACAAGTCGTAGGAGGTAAGACAGTCCAGAGCAATGATGTAAGTCTCAAACTGGTTAAATTTCAGACACTGATGACAGTACAATGGCATGGACAGACAGCTTTGCTACTGCTCTTACCATGTGTCAGGTTACACATATAAAAAGATACGGATCACATGATCAGACTACAGCTACTGAAACATTTCAAACATTCACAAGCATAAGGTGCCGGTGTAAGGTAATCTCTTCTATGCCAAGTCACTCAATAGGGCTTATCCTTTGGAGTCACAAAGCTGTCACTGCGGATGACAATAACGTGTAAACGCCACAACAACAAAGGACTCATCTCAAAGTCCTCTAGACACAAAGCTGAGGTATAGTTAAACGATAAGCTCCTGTTGTACTAGACATATTGATATGTACACAACTGACTCATGTGATCTCAAAAGTCAAATGGGGCAACCAGAGGTAAATTGTCAAAAATAATAAGAAATATTGACTGGCTTTGAAAATCACAGCCTTTCAAATTTGATCAAAATGGTGTTGTCATTGGTTTTGGTTTTGCCTAATAAAATGTGTATATCTAGCATGTTTTCATGTCAAAAGCATTATTTTCACATAGGCTGACAAGACTCCTTTGCTTCCTCAGAAATTCCAGTATCAATTCTGAAAAAGCTCGAGGATATCAGGCAACCAGAAGGATCTGCCGTAACCCTTGAATGTGAGCTCTCACGCCACAATGTGGATGTCAAGTGGACAAAGGTAAAATTACATGACATCCTCAGAAAACCCTGTAGTTGCTGTAAATTAAAAATCATAAAAAAGCCCCAAGCCAATATCTACTAATAATTATGTGAAAAACTTCTAAAAAATGAGGGGGGGTGGGTGTCCTCTTCTTTCAGAATGAAGTTCAGCTTAAACCAGGAAAAAATCATCGCATTTACTCGATGGGAAGAAAGTGCTTTCTACAGATACTGAAGTGTGAGCTGGGAGACTCTGGTTTATATGTGTGTGATGCTGGGGATGCCACTACCTCCTGTTCAGTGGATATCTATGGTAAGAACAGAAAGATTATATACTTTCCTGATTATTTAAAACTAAATCTTAGCTATATCTTAATCCCTGAATAAAATAATGCTGAAGTAATTCACTCTAAGTACAACATTGCCGTCTACTGGTACGGAGGTGAATTTAACAAAATGGGAAGCATTTACCCTTGATTTGTTTTAAATGAGTACATAATGAAATTATGCAACGCCTTTTTAAGTTTATTAACCTTTCAACAGAGAGGGAGCTTGAGATACTACAAAGCTTAGAGGATCTGGATATTCAAGAAGGTCAGAATGCAGTGTTCATGTGTGAAGTGTCCCTGGACGATGTGCCCAGAGAGTGGTTTAAGAATGGCGAGAAGATCAAATCAACCAGCACCATTAAGATTCGTCAGGAAGGTTATTGTAGCACCTGTTGCTAAACTTTACCCTCTTCCAAAAATGAACCACAAAATATTTAAATCAGTATCTGATCATACATTTTCCGAACCATTTTTTTTCCTACTTAGGGACAAAGCACTTCCTCCTCATATGCAATGTTAAAGAAGACGATTCTGGAGAGATCAAGTTTGTTGCCAAGAATGTTGAGACTACAGCTTACCTTGAGGTGGAAGGTCTGTATTTAGTTTAAGTCAAGCATTCACTACAAATCCAAAGCTAGTCACCCCCTTTGATGACAAGTCACAGATGCTATGACATTTCAGACTGGTTTGAAATGTGGCCAAACCAGACGTTGGATATTTACACTGTTCCGACAAGTGAGAAAGCAGCAATGACCAACAACCAAAAAAAATTTATATATATCATTTATATATATTTAGGCTATATACATTTTTGGTAACACTTTCTATGAAGCCCGTATTTATAATACATTATAAGGGTATTCTTAAGGCATTATTTATAATGAATGCATAATGCATTATAAAAAAACGTATAATATGTTATATCAACTCATGAATAATCATAACAACAATTATAATACATCATAATACTTACGTATTTGTGGTTATAAGTTTAAGAGTATGATTATTTATAACACACAATGAACACCGTATTAAATCTACTTCATTTACAGTATTGTCAGTTTATCTGTTGGTTGACCATCAAAATAAAGTGTTAGCATATATAGTATTTACAGTAGCAGACATACTAATACTCTAATAACCGCTAGTTGATATGTAGTTGCAGAGTCACTTATCAACAGCTGTCTAAAGGGTACCATCAAAATAATCAAACTGATATTACAATAAAAAATAGTTCAATGCAAATGTGTCATATTACACATTCATCTGATCTGATATCTGATCTTATGACTGTTTGAGAGAAAAAAGTGTATTATTATTATTATTACTACTACTTATAAGTGGTCTTTGACCGCTTTAAGTAAAGTAGCATAAGAAAAATGGCAAGATATGAGACTTATAAAACATTATAACTATGAGAAATATAATCCATTGTAAAAGTGGATGCAACATGTTCATTGTGTTATAAATCATCATACTCTTAAAAGCTATAACCACCAATAAGTAAATATTATTATATATTAAAACTGTTCTTATGAATATTCATGAGATAATACAACATATTATATGCATTATGCATTCATTTTAATGCCTTAAGAATACCCTTATAATAATTATATTATTATAAATACGGGCTTCATAGAAAGTTTAACCATATTTTTTTTTCAATTATTGCATTGTCAAGAATGAACTTACAACGGACTTAAAACTACAACTTTTCATTTCTACAGCACTACCAGCAAACATTGTGAAACCACTTCAGGACAAGACTGCTCTGGAAAAAACCCGCGTCATACTGGACTGTACTGTGACCAATCCGCGTTGCAGCATTCGCTGGTATAAGGGACCGAATGTCATCCTGCCCTCAGAGCGCTTTGAGATCTGCAGTGAAGGGTGCTATCGAAAACTTGTGATTCAGCAGGTGTTGCTAGAAGATGAGGGCACCTACAGTGTCCAAGTTGGAAACTACACATCTTCAGCAAAACTAACTGTTGAAGGTGAGGCAAATTCAGCCCTTTTACACCAATTATGGATTGATTGACAGCACTGTCATATAAAAAAAATGAAGAAGAAAGAAAGAAAAAGAAAAAAAAAAGTAGTTATTTGAGCTGTTCATTTAGAGTTAATGATCAGATTTGTTCGATTATTATATGAAGCCACATTGTATGCACATTGTTTGCATAACAAACCAATGTTTTCACTCAGTATATATATATATATAGAGAGAGAGAGAGAGAGGCTATAGCCTATATAGCCTATGTATAATTTAAAAACGTGACTACATTCATCGTGATTGAGGGAACGTAAATTGAAAGTTATTTAAAAATTATAATACATTTTATATCAGGAATATGCTACCTAGCCTATAGAAAGAGATTATGGGAAAGATTTCAAAACAATATTTATCCATCTTTTGTACTGTACATTATAATGTTTTGAATCAAAAATTCACTTAAAGCATATACAGTAAACATCATCAAATTGTTTTGGATAGAATTTCAATAGGCTATTGCTGCATCCCATTCCCTACACGAACATATATCAACAAAACCTTAATATATTTGCTATGTCTAATAACAATGATATTTTCGGATGACAAGTCTTTTCGGATGTTGCAACAACTTAAACCAAGCAATCACTTCTATTAGGTGGGACGTTCTTAAGTCAAACCAAACGCGTTTCTTGGCACGAAGACTAATCCGACATGAAACCTTGTGTCACACACCTAATCTCATGAGAAATTACCTAATTGTCTTAATATTCCAGCGCTTATTTGATGCCAAATACATTTTAACATGTTTCATAGCAAAATTACTCAAGCAATTTATTTCCAAGTACTTTAGACCGGGGTGCAGTGTAAAAGAAAAAGTATTTTTTTAATATTTGAAATTGCTAAAATGTTCAAAAAAGCATTTATTATATAATATCCATTTCTGATGTCGCCAATAATTAGAGATGCACTGAAATTCTGGCTGCCGAAAATGAGTTCACCGCTCAGGTTTCACTTTCACGTGGTGTGACTCTGCGTATTATCCCGCTCTATGCTCAGTCGCTCCACTCATATAGCCTACCGTTCACTCAAAAAAGTCCACTCAAAAATCGAGCCGACAGGAAACATCGATGTAGTACAGTATTGTTTCTGTTTGCAATAGCCCTACTGTGCTGTAACATGGTGTGGTATATGGGCAACTCTGGTAACACTGCCCTCTCATTCATTGATCTGCTAACCGTTATGCTAACGTGCTCTAATAATAATAGTTTTCTAGGACTATACATTATTTGGATAATTGGTAATACAAATTTAAAATACTAAATCTCTTAATTGCCCTACACTCTAAAAAATGCTGGTTTAAATAAATCGAGCTATTGGGTTGTTCTGGCCCAGCGGTTGGGTTGTTCTGGCCCAGCGGTTGGGTTGTTCTGGCCCAGCGGTTGGGTTCAAAACAACCCAACCGCTGGGTCAAAACAACCCAATAGCTGGGTTTGTCCCTTTTTAACCCAGCACTGGGTTATATTTAACCCAGCATTTTTTAGAGCGTACTGTTAGACCTACCTGAAAAACTAAAAAACAATTTATTTCATTTGTAGACCTATTTTTTTCATCATTAGTGCTATCATTAGTAATTTCTTTATTTGTTCTTATTTTAATACTGACTGCTTACTTGTCATTTTTTTTATTCAATTCAAAGTTTGAAATCAAGCTATCTTGTGCAACTGCAACAAAATTACCCCACTGTAAAATCAAAAATACACTGAGTGAGCAAAAATGTGTGCGATAGCTAGTTATAATGGTAATTAAACAATGTTTACATATGAATAAAAGCTTACATTAGAATGTCATATAAATTGGTCTCTTCATTAGAAATACTGATTACACCATTGATGGACAAAAAAAATTAATAATATAAAAATATCTGTATGACAGTATATTCTGCAGCTCTTCCCTGCTGTACCGAATATCTATACTTTTCAAAGTATCATATCGAAGTTAGAAATTCCAGTATTGTGACAACTAATTTTGTAGGGTGCAACAAATTTGTTAAAATTTCCAAAGGGTGCCGCGACTAAAAAAAAGGATGGGAAACACCGCTTTACGAATAAATCTCTGGCCTGCTTTGGGCGTTCAATTTACCCTCAGCAACCAGTCACTCAACTATAGGCGCTCAGAGTTCTCTGCAGTTACTACAATTAACCGGCAGATGGCAATGTCTCCCTTTTACATCTACAGTACCTATATACGCTTGCTGAGAGTACCACAAAAACAGTGAGGGCATTTAATTATTAATTAGCCTAAAATCTAATTCAAAACATATCTGCCAAGCTCTTAAAAATGTCATATTCATATTTATGTTGTTTCATACATTTAAAAAAAAAACATCTACAATTTTCAAAATTATTTGCTAAAAATTTAAAATAATGCACATATATGTCATGACAAAAAAAGGCTATCTGCACGTTAGTGATTTTGCTTAATTTAACAGTGAAATACTGATTTTGAAATATTAATAGTATTATATAGGAACTGCTTCTTTTTCTTTTAATTAATAATAATAATAATAATAATAAAACATTGCATTGACAGTATAGCTGAGACTATTTAACATGCCTATCTATGGATTGGCACTTCCTCTGTTGAAACAGCTCTGTCAGTCCTAATGGTGAGAGAGCTGCAGGACGTGGATGTGACAGCTCCTGCAGATGCATGCTTTGAATGTGAAGTGTCTTTGCCTGTGGCCAAGGCACCTACCTGGACCCTGAATGGGGAGACACTGCATCCTGGTCCTAAAGTTGTGGTGGGGAAAATGGGAACCATTCATAGGCTCATTCTCAAACAAACATCCGAAGACATGAGCGGCACAGTGTGCTTTATCACAGGGAGAGTCAAAAGCACTGCACATCTGCAAGTCATAAGTAAGTTGTATATTTTGTTATAGTAGATATAATGCATGTTTATATATTGCCAAGTAAAAGTTTACAATATGTGCTTATATACTGTACATACCTTTACTCCGAATAGGAGATGTTTTTGATGCCTATTCTTAGACATGGAGTCCGGACTTGTTTTAATAAGAACTTGATACACACTAATAGCTTGGGGCCATGTGATTTACATTGGTATCCAGCTGAGGGTAAGGGTTTATCAAGTGACTGCTGACTTATTAATCTTTCTATTTTTCTTTATGGCAGGTAACCACTGAGAAACAACACATAAGCACTTACAGTGCATAATGCTCAACTACGCCACTATTTAAATACAAAAATACCTAATGAAATTATGAAACTATTAACTGTTTTAATGTGTCTGAAAGAGATAGGTCTATCTTTAATTTATTTGAAATGCAAATTTATTATGCTGTTTTACATATCATATCCTGCTCTTTATGGTTTACCATTCATTGCATAATCATTTTTAAGTTTTTCTAAATTTATGATCAAACACATTGTGCTTTATAGGCTACACAAAAAATGAACAACACCAGGCCAGACACCCAGAAATGTAATTCACCCATGTTGTTACTGCTTAAATTTCTTGCACAGTAATTTGGTATTTAATTTTGAAATTTGTGTACTACTGTATATCCTTGTATAGATATCCTTTGTGTTGTTTTTTAAATTCTTGTTGTGTGGGATGCAGATTAAAGTGAGGTTAAGGCGAAATAAAAATGTGCCGGGCCAAAGATGATCAAAAGAGGGTTTGGGACGGAAAGTAACTTCAGCATACATAACAAATACACTGAATTCAAGAATACAGACATTTTACAAAGTAGGGAAACATTTACAAATAAATGAAAATGGTTTTGATAGTTGTAGTTGTTTGCTTCTGTTGTAATCAGAAGGTATGTCACGATTCTTGCCTTTTACTGAAGTATCCGAATAAAGTGCTGCAATTTTCCCTTGTTAAGCAATATCTTTCAATAAAATGTAAAAACAAATTTTCTTGAGGAGTGTTCTATTGTGTCTATTTTAGTGAACAGTCAATACTGTACTGACCAAATGTCCCTCTTCAAGGTCAACACTGCCGTCTACTGGTTCTGCAATCTAGAAAGGAAAGTTTTGTACATGACTTACATTCTCTGTTCATTTACCTACTTACCTTCGCGTTGTTCCAAACCGATAGGCCTAAGACTTTCTTAAACTTATCTATAAACCTTCCTATATTTTACCAGTGCATTCTCTAGAGTATTACAGGGAAAAAATGATGATGTATGTATGTATGATGATGATAATAATAATAATAACAAAGTCATTGGGGTTAATTAAGTTATTTGTAATGGCTTGTAGCTTTAACAGGTCACAAACACCAGGAAGTTTTTACTTGCTTTGTCTTAATTTTGTAGCCAACCTCTATAACCACTGAACTCGATTGTCTGAATCATAATACCTAAATTAATGTATTTTTTAATTACATACTACATACCACATCCCAGAACCCTAGTTTTAGAAGCACTTAGAAAAGGCAAAGGGGGAAAAAAATCTCACCTTATTTTTCAACGCGGAAGTAAGCCGTTTTCTGTGAATGTGCGAGACTTCCTGGAAGCAATGACACCGGAAGCCAGACACATAACATTTACAAATGGCCGCCTCGTACGCTCTAATGGGTTGAGATTAGTCTCAGCCTCAGACTTCACGCCCACATATGGCACACAAAAGTGGAAGCACTTCAGGAGTTTCGAAGTCGTCATCGGATTGGCTGAATTATACAGGATTTCCGGGAGACGTGTGTGTCGCGTTCTTTAACGTTCCGCCTGGAAACAAAGATGCCGTGATGCCAAACCCCCTCAAGAAAGAAGAAAGCTGTCTTGACGGTCTTGTTTACAGCTGTGACGACGAGAGCTTATCAGGATCAACTAAATGCTGGATTTTCAAAAGTATGTGAAAATTTAAAGTTCGCGGAACAGAATCTTTAAAATACGTGTGGCGACATTTCCACACCCCGAAACGTGACACTGAAACGAAACAAACTGATTGGTTGTTTGACATGTTGGTCAAACGGCCTCATGGGCGGGCTTTGGCCAATGAAAGCTGCCATGGATTCCAGACCTTCAGCCGACAATCACTGTAGGTTGGGATGGGCGGATCGATCTTTAAAGGGGTCCTATTATGCTCTTTTACAATGTCTTGAATTTGTTTTGGGGGTGTACTAGAACATGCTCTCATGCTTGATGGTTCGAAAAACGCATTATTTTTTACATAATTTACATTATTAAAATACCTTTCTCCCCAGTCTGGCACAAACGGCTCGATTAGTTCTGGGTTTGATGAACGCCCGCCTTCCGAAAAACGAAATGTGATGTGAGTGGTTAGCTATCCCAGTGCGTTATGATTGGCGAACAGCTATAATAATAATACACTTGTGTATAATAATTATATTGTACTCTCTCTCTCTATATATATATATACATACACACACACACACACTAAGCAATAAAAAATAATAAAAATGTGTCCGCATTCAAATGTACCGTCTGTTCCTGTTTCCATTGACACCACGAACCATGCAGCTTCTTATTTATTTTAATTTTTATAATCTTTTAAAGATGTATTATATAAAATAGGACGCTGCGCTACGGCTAAAATGAGCGCTTCCTCCATTTTTGAATTTCTGTCCAGAGAGGTCACAGTGACGTATCGATCTTCTACTGGTCACACGTCTTCACATGATGCGAATTCGCAGGTCAGAGTTCACCAAACTTGAACTTTGGAACGCAGCGGAATGCGAAATTTTTCGCATGAGCTTGCGTTTCCGGTCTGACGCATTCGCATGCGTATGAATGGAAGTCAATGGAACGAAAAGTGCAGTGTGACCGCCCCTTCAGACGGTGTTTCAGTACTGCCCCGCCCCCTTGCCAAAGCAGCAAGTTTAGTTAAGGATGGCGTCAATATTGCCATATCAATTTGAGCCGGATTCAGACCCAGAGAATTTTGAACAAGAGGATCGCGCAGAACCTTTGCACGCACGGATATTGCAAGACATATTAGAGTGGTAACATTATTGTTGCTTTTTTTGTTGTTGTTTTTTTGGCTAAATCACGTTTTAGATAGGATGTCAACAACCGCTTAAAAATAACTGCATTTACTATGTACAGATAAGTGCATATGTATTATTTTTTATTGTTATTGAATTCTAACATTATAACATGAATTGCAGTGAAACTGTTATACAGTTGAATTTATTTAGACCATTGTCCAGTGTTTCCCAGGCGGCATTTATATGCAAACGCATTCTCTGCCAGCAGAAGTCGTTGTTGGAGTGATAGAGATCAAGTTTTCCCCAGTAACGGCTGTACACAAAGCAGCGCTCCACTCAAAAAACACTGCTTTATCAGACATTACATACAAGATTAAATGAAAATGGCATCCAATTTTCTGAAGTCGGTTTCCTTCAGAAATACTGTACTATAAAAACACCCGCACTCAATGTATGGGAAACACTGTAGTCTCATAATTGAAGTGTAAATTCTGCCGATTACATCATTGTACTGTCAGCAATTTATTATAAAAACGTTTTCATAATTGTAACATACATATTTACATACATAATTATTCATACAGCAGCACTTCTTCGTCGTCGTCTTATCTGATGCACTCACTCAACCAAGCATTCTAACCAAGACCTCACCCCTCAACCATTGGAATTATTTTAATGATATTCTAATGGGCCGCTTTGTGATATCACAGCCCAGAAAACAAACGCTGTAGTCCAAACGAGCCGTTTGTTGTAGTAAAAAACGAAATATCTCCCTTTGGAGTGGACTTTGAGATTTGTAAGTTTGAAGATCTTTTTTATGCCCAAACATACACACTACACACTGACTAAAATTCAAAAAGTGAAAAAAGCATAATAGGACCCCTTTAAAGGTGCAGTGTGTAAATTTTAGAATTGCAACCAACGGCTCAGTCCCCCGCTCACCCCTCTCTTTAGAAAAGCTACGGTGGCCGATACAGGACTAAGATGTCGTCAGTAAAGACAGCAGAGAGCAATGAGATTTCTTTACAATGGTAAATTAAGGAATTATATTTACTTAATTATTTAATAAATCGATGTTATTGCGAATATTAATGTACTTGTACATCATTGTGTCAGTGTTTTATTCGCAAGAACAACAAAGTGACGAAACGCGCTGTGTAGAGCAGTTTGTCCATTTAGGGCTACTGTAGAAACATGGTGGCGACTTCCATGTAAGGGGACCCGCGGTCTATGTAGATATAAATTGCTCAATCTAAGGTAATAAAAACATAACGGTTCATTAAGTTAGGTCTTTATACACCTCTGAAAACATAGTTATGTATATTAGATTGCATTTCTGTCAAAAGATCGATGTAAATATTACACATTGCACCTTTAAGTATCGATACTGATGCTGTATCGAAAGGATCGATCCTCACATAAAAATATCGATTCTAAAGTGCATTTTTTTAACCATTAATTGTATTTATTTATCAAGAAATTCGGTGCATAAAATAAGCTTCTAAGTGGAAAAATAGACTATATTAGTGAATAATTGCATTGGATAGAACCATTTCTCCTGCTCATCGGAACACGCAAATGCTGAAAGACAGAACTAATCAATCACAGACAGCTGAAGCATGGCTCAGTGCTTGTTCAAATAGGGCTGCATTTCCCAAAAGCATCAGGGGCCGGTTGCACCAGCTGTACGTAAGTTACAACTCAGCCTAGTTTTGACGTAAATGGGCACTAATGCCGAATTCACACTGCACGATTTTCAAAGTCGTCGGGTCACCGTGGTTTTCACACTGCACGACTATCTAAGGTAGCATTCAGTTGCTGCTGTGTTCACATTGCACGATGGATCGGCGACAGGGGGTTTCACACTGCATGACTTTACAATAGGAAGAATCGCCGACAACTCTCTCTGGTCGCAAACTACGTTTCACAACAAAACACATGCGAGAAGTGATAAGGAAATAACGCGAGAACCCGCGTGCGTCAGACCGGAGTTCTCGAGCAAGACTGGGATTATCAAATATAGCCCGCAAATAGTCTGTGAGCTGATTTCCAGCTACAAGGAGAAAAAGAAAAACAGATTATGCAGGAGGGAGATGCAGGGAACAGGGATTGGGTGCTCTGAAAAGAGAGTTGGAGGTAAATAATTTTGCAGTAACTGTTATGCTGATGTTGTGGCTGGGCAAGCAAATGTTTGTGCTTGTTTCTGTATGATATAATTGTTCATATATCTATTAAAATACTGATATTCTGGTCTATAACTCCTCCCCGAACTTCCCTCTGCCCTGTATCTTGGTCTCTCATTGGCTGTAGGTCATCGCCGATTTAGATTTCAGTCAGGACTCATTTCACACAGCGTGATTGTGAATCGTCGACAGCTCCAGATATTTAGCATGCCAAATATTTCACGGGCGTCGGCGATTCCCTCAGATCGCGTCTTTGATAATTCACACTGCGTGATTGTCACTTGTGTGAATGAGCACCGATTTGCCTCCGATTTCGGGCATTTGTCAGCGATTTCACAAAACCTGTCGGCGACTGAAAAATCGGGCTAAAATCGTGCAGTGTGAACTCGGCGTAAATTACAACTAAAGGCGGGCGTACAAGTAGGAGCTCGCAGGCGATTGTTTTCTCTCAGGAGAAAATCGCACATGCTCGTGGCTCGTACCGTGTGAGAAGAATTATGGGCTTGTCACTTGTGTGAATGAGCACCGATTTGCCTCCGATTTCGGGCATTTGTCAGCGATTTCACAAAACCTGTCGGCGACTGAAAAATCGGGCTAAAATCGTGCAGTGTGAACTCGGCGTAAATTACAACTAAAGGCGGGCGTACACGGTGCAATTTTTGCTGTCGTAGGAGCTCGCAGGCGATTGTTTTCTCTCAGGAGAAAATCGCACATGCTCGCGGCTCATACCGTGTGAGAAGAATTATGGGCTGATCCGAG